TACTCTGAAATATCCAACCAGGCATAACCATGCAGGATAAGAATTTTTAGAATTCAATTGATCGTTGATTTATTATCCATTTAACATATATATTTTGCTACACTAATGTGAATGCTTGCTATTGGGAAAAGTCAGACTTTGTAAGGAAGTCCATAGGCATGCTGTCATGTTAGAATAGGGGGGGGGGACACAATGGCCACAAGTAATAAAAGCACAATTGTTTCCCCACTCCTGTGTTAGAGATTTAATATTAGGCTTCAGATATAAAAATGTTATGAAAAAATAAGACTGGGGGAACTCTTAGTTCCTCCCACTATTCTTTATTTTTGCCTGAAACATTGTGTAAAGACCCCCCCCTGTCTTTCAGAAATACAGTGTGATTTTGGTGTAACAAAAAACATATAATTATTTTTAAGGGATTCGTGGCCTGCCTAACTGAGTAGGATAAGATTTATACTGGATAGTAAATTCCAAATCCCCAATATAGTAGTGATGAGTGTCAGCCTGGCTGTCAACGCCAGTCTTGATGTCAACCAAACTCCATGCCTGACCTGATATAAAATAACGTTGATTTTTCATTTAAAAAACTAAAATGGAACATTATCTTTATTTCCAAGATTGATTTTAGGCTCTAATTAAGACCAGGATGCCTTTTTTAAAAAAATGATAAGAGACTGCAATACCATGCTCTGTTTAAACTTATAAGAAGAAATAAATAATCTAAACAAAAGAAGCTGTTCCAGGAGAGTGTTCATAACATAACCCCAAAATTCCTAATGTGTCCACCGATGTGCAAAGGTTGGACACGCTGCTTTTAAATCATCCTGTAGTTAGTAGACTGCGTGAATCTGACTGACATGGCTAGGAAGCAAACCATGGTTTATAATTTAGTGTGTGTTGCGTGATCACTGCCAAGTTCCCTTCCTCCTTGAATAATTGCTTGGATTTATCTTGCCTGGCCAAAAGCATAAAGGAGTACTCCTGGTCTCATAAAACTCCAATATCTCCTTTCATGGTTTCTGCAAAAAAAGAATTGCAAACTTTTACCTTTTCTTGGTCCTGTCGTTCTGGGGCAAAGAAGAGGACACATTCTGTGTAATTGGCCCAGGTCTTGTTCATATTAGAGACAGATTGCCAGTTTCCATCATCATCGCAATGTCTGTAGGCATGACCTGAAATAAAGAACAAGAGGAAAGAGACATGAAAAAAAAAAAAGGATTGTCTGCAGAAGATAATACAAACAACCAAGATGGTAGCTATGCTGGTATAATCAAAGCTCCTCTATTGTCTATGTTGTCACAACGCACACAAAAAACAAGCAAAATTTGATTGCCCTGTCAGCACCACCATTCTAACTTTTTCTACCATAATCTACAAATACTCCTGCAAAAGAACCTTCAAACCAGTCAAAGTGGGAGATTCAACTAAGGCTCGCCAATGGTCTATTTTTATGAATACAAAAGGTAAATGTTAATTGTTTGGGACTCAGTGGATATATCGATGTGGCTCACCTAGAAACAAAATGGAAATGTTTTGCCAGTGCTTTCTCCCAAAAAGTTTCTTTATCTCAAAAATCTTCGGCTCTGGGATTTCCTGGTGATCTGTCATTCAGCTCCTAGAAGTTCCATCACTGCTTTGTCTGTTGACCTTAGTCAAAGTGCTGCTCCTTAGCTCCATTATAAGAAAGAATGATAAACCCAATAATGTTCCCAACTCTGAGTCAAGGAATAGTGAGGAAAGCTGCCTCATTCCCAGCACAGAGGCAGAGTTCACTTTCCAATCCACTTGACTTCTTGTATGCAAAGGAAGAGCACCATTTTGCTCTTCTCTGTAAACAACACAACCTCTTTGACATGCTTGACACTCCTTTTGCTCTGCTAAAAAAGGAAGTGCCATATTTCTTCAGCAAAGACAACAAAGAATGTTGTCCTTGCTTCAGTCAGATGCCTTACAGATATGTTTGACTCACAAACGTATGCTAGCCAGAGGATGATGGGAGTTGAAGTCTGACATATTTGACTTCATCATTTGGAGCCACATCATTTGGGGACCAATGTAGAACAACCATAGGAGTGTGTATGTAAAGATGGCACATGCAACTGCATGTGTCGTCTAAAAAAAGGCAGGGATCTGATTTCATGATATTAATACCATCTTAATTTTTTGACTCTGTTGGATAGATTGAATTTCTTCCAGTATCTGAAAGCAACCAATAATTTATTAGCTTTATAGTCTGTCTTTTTTTTCCAGAAGCTCATAATAGAATTATGTATTTATATTTCTCTAAGTTCTCTCCATAGTAACAACCGTCCGAGTTGGGCTGACCTCAAACCATTCAGTGAACTTTCAACAAGATGGATCTGAAGCTGGGTCTCCTCAGCATTGTTCATAGTATCACATTCTTTTTGCATTAAAAAATAAAATGGTATCCTATGTAAATGATTGTTCAAAAAACACCCTCAGTGGATGCCATTTTCTTTAGGACCATAACAGGAAAATATTCAAAATTTTATTTCCTGCCTTCTATAATTTCAGGGTAAGAGCCACTTTTTAAAAATGTAGATGTTAAATTTAAAGATACAGTTAAAATCCTCAAATAGCCAAAAGATCTTAGACTTTTGTGGGGAAACTGTGATAACAAACTTACCATGATGGTTGAAGTCATAGATGTAGTCTGGACAAAGAACAGCCACTTTTTTATCTGGGAGACTTGCTGGCCAGCAAATGATTCCATCCCATTCAGGTAAACAATGACCATCTAACAAGGTTATAGTTTCACAAGTCAAGGGAAAGAGATGAAGGAAAGAAAGGAACAATCATGAACAGAGGGGTAAAAAGAGATTTTAAAATGATGCAGACAATAGTTAATATGTCTCTTATTTTGGCACTGTGCTTAAATTAGCTAGATGGGTTTGCATTATAGTTCTTGAAGAGTTACAGGTAGTCCTTGACTTATGATCACAATTGCGACTAGAACTCTAAGTGGTATGATTGTTAAGTGAACCTGGCCTAATTTTTTGACTTTTTTTGCAATGTCATTAAGCAAAGCAATGGTTCACTATAATCCAGTTTTGCCAAAATCCAGAAGAAAATGCGGACTTATGATCTTGGAGGGGTGTATGGCTATTGGAACTGGGTTTTAAGTGTCCCCAAGGAGATCCATCATAAACTTCAAATAGTTGTAAATTAAGGATTATCAACAAGGTAGAATGGTCCAAATATAATTTGGAGCACAACTGGCACCCATCCATAGTTTTCCCATAATGGCAGGAAATATTGGATTTCCATTAGAACATATAGCCAATGTTTTTATAACAATATAAAAGCAAAACTGATACCTTGGATTTTCTCCTTCTGACCATTTATCTGATTGTGACATATTGATTTTGCTTCATTCAGCAAATAAATCTGTTCTTCTTTGGTTAGAACATCATCAGTGTCCACCTGCCAAACATATAAGGAGGGAGATATAAGACACAGGGGCCTGCTCCATCCATTTGCATCTTCCCCAAAACTAGATTCATGAAATATCATTCCACCAAACTAATCCTGGGAAAGAGAAATACAACTTTATTTGAGTTTTATTTCCCAAACGAAATAGGGTGATTAAGTCTGCTCTGCCCGGTCTGAGGATATTGTACCACATCAGCTATCAAATCTACACCAAATATAATACAATAATTGTTATAGGAAATTCATTCTCTCTCTCTCTCTCTCTCTCTCTCTCTCTCTCTCTCTCTCTCTCTCTCTCTCTCTCTCTCTCTCTCTCTCTCTCTCTCTCTCACACACACACACACACACACAGACACACACAGACACACACAGACACACACACACACAGACATACACACACACACACAAAGTGTGTGTGTGTATGTGAGAGAGAGAGAGGGCGGGGCATAAGTTAGTCAGACAAAGAAGCACAAACAAAATTCAATCCTAAACAGTGATCAGTCTTCATTCATTCACTCATTCATCACTATATTTGGATATCTAGTCCAAAGTGAAGATGAAATGGGATAGAGAAAATGGGTTGGCACTCAAGGAGTCCGAAACTGCAGATAGAATCACCTGAAGGAAATTCACTAAGGAAAGTGAAAAGAGGAAATTCTTCTGTACAGTATTCAGCTTCCAGGAGTTTTTTCTCATTGGCTAGGTCCCAAGTACGGAAGTTCTGTGACTCTTTTACATCTTCTGAATTTAAAAAAATATATCATTGCATTCTAGATCACTGGCAAGAAAAACCACACTGCATTCATGACCCCCCCCTGTTTTTGGATGGTTCATTGACATTCCCATAAAACTGCAAGGATGTGTATCAGGTCACCAGGAGTCAAGCTATATTCCTCACCATCTTTCCCCCCCTTTTTAATATCACATTTATTGATTTATTTACATTAATTCATGTACTGTCTACCTTCCAAGACTCTAGGGAGGAGGTTTGCAATAAGATTAAAAGCAAAGACAGGTAGTCCTCAATTTATGACCATAATTGAGCCCCAAATTTACGCTGCTAAGCAAGGCCATTATTAAGTGAATTGCACCTTATGTTATGATCTTTTACGCCACATTTGTTAACAGAATCACTTCAACTGTTAAGTGAATCCTGAGGTCATAAAGTGAAAGTCTGGCTTCCTCCATTGACTTTGTTGGAAGCCGTCTGGGAAGATTACAAAGGGTGATCACATGACGCCAGAACAGCACGAGCATCATAAATACACGCCAGTTGCCAAGTGCCCGAATTTTGCTCATGTGACCATGGGAGTGCTGCAATGGTCATAAATGGTCAAAAGTCACTTTGGTCACTAAACGAATTGTAAGTCAAGGACTACTTGTTTATTAATTAAAATTTTGCTCCTGAAGGCATATCATGATTGTGTTCTATTAATTATTTTGATTGCATTGTACAGCTGCAGCAAATAATAGAAATAATTGACTATTGATATGAATATTAGTATGGCTACATTGACCCATGTATTATTTTTCTGGCTTGTTTGCAGGAGCATGCTGGCTGAGTCTTTGGAGCACCTGATCTCCTAACAATTCTGGAGGCATCTGGGCTGAAGAAATAGAGACTAGTATAGATATTGGATGGATGGATGGATGGAAAGGGATGAATTGAGAGAAATACATAATAGCTAAAGCAATGTGAGAATGGTTAATAAAAAATGCTCCCTTAATTATGAGCCATGAGGAATGATCCAGGGAACCCAAGCTTTTTGGTGGCATCGGATGCATGAAAAGCTATGTTCAGAGCACGACTATGAGATTGCATTGTGTTAGTCAAAGACTGACTCATTTCCTGTGAAAAATTGTCAGGAAAAGGGAGAGCTCAGTAAGATAAAGCAAGGCAGGACTAGAGATCACTCAAGTGGGCTCCTGTGATAACAGCTGCAATTAAGTTGCTCATCTGCCTAGGCCCTGTTGCAAATCTTGATAGAGTTTCCCATTAATGAGATTTCCATTCCATCTGTGGCAGCTGCTGGGGTGGGTGGGTGTATTTGTGGGGGAGCTGCAGTAGGGCCCTGATGAAGCCCCAGCTGCTAATGAGGAGATTCATTAGGGACAATGTTGCCAACTGTTTAGCACTAGGAATAAAAGGCAAGCTTTTCTGATTGGACATGAATAAAATGTCATAAAATCAAAAACAAAGAGAGAAGTATTAGCAGGTTCATATCTTGGAAATCATCCATGCAATGTAATAAAATCTATGGGTTCCACAATTGCATAGGGGGATGGATGAGTGTGGGGTAACATTTTACTTATTATACATTTTAGCAACATTTTAGTTTAGTTTTCTTAGTGTATTTACCTCCATCACAATCTGTAAAATAAGGTTTACAGCTCAGATGTGTAGACCCAGCTAATTGTTGTTTGTTCATCAAATCATGGTTAAAGCATAGTGTGCTCTTTCCCAACCTCCTGCCCTGTAGGTGCACAGGTGCTCCAGTTCCCAGCATTCCAACCAGCTGCAACCCAACCCTCCTGGAGGGCACCAAGTTGGAGAAGACTGCACAATGGATGAACCTTGCTTCAAGATCATCAGCAACAATGGTTAAGGCACCTGACATCTGGATGGATGGGTGGATAGAAGAAATAATGTTTAAACTTTAAGGTGATCTCCATCAGTTGATAGAGATGTCAAAGATTCCCTGCTAGCTTCTGAAATTCTTCTCCTGCAGATGCTGTAATTCCTACATTGCCATGTTATACCTCTCACCCTCTTAACACACAGTCATTCTCCAATTGCTCTCTCAGATCACATAGGGGTGCATAGAAGCCAAGTCAGTGGAGAACAAGGCACCTCTTGTCCAGTGTCTCTTTTAACAACTCCATACTAAAGTTAACAATCCAGAGACAAACAGAGCAAACAGAGAAGGGGAATTGAGGCAATTGAAAAAGTATGTGTTAGATTCAAGTCTACTAGAGATCAGAGTTGGGTGGTTACACCTTTCCTCCACCCTCTGGAAATTCTCAAGGAAAGGATAAGTACCAGGATTATTTCCTTGGCCCTCTAGAGCAGTGTTTTTCAAACTTGGCTACATTCATACCTGTGGGCTTCAACTCCCATAATGCTGGCTGGGAAATTCTGGGAGTTGAAGTCCACGTATCTTAAAGTTGCCACATTTGAAAAATGCTGCTTTACAGGACTTTGCTGTTTTAATTCCTTAGTCAGCAGCTATTCCATCACCCTAGTTAGTTGTTGCAAGAACTTTAAAAACTGGTACTGCTTTTGTTTATTCTTTTCTCTCTTCCCCCTCTCAATGCCTTTTTCTTGTGGGACAAATGTAAATAGGAACTAATCATGTCTGTAAATTAGCCCAAATGTGATTAACATAATCAAATACATCAATAAATAAAATCCTTGCAACATTTTGTTTATTAGTTTATCATTTTAAACTACTATTGTAAACCTAAGAAAGGAAATGCCCCCTTGTGGTCTTGAAGGGCCATGAGCTTTCTATTGTGGTCTCATTGCAGCTTGCATAAAGATTGTTCTACCGTATATCCATAGAATAGGTCATTTTTCTGAGAGATTTCAGCTAAATCTGAGCCTAGCAGCATTTGTAATACAGGTAATACAGAGTCTTAGAGGCAGATACTCTTCTGTTGTTCCCCTAGCAGGGACTCAAGGATTCTCCTCTACCTAATTCCAAAGACAATTTGGGGCCGGAGAACATAACTTTCACAACATTTATCACTCCTCTTATCTGATAAAAACCCAAATATATCCAGCTAAGTTCCCCAGTTTTATGCTCCATTATATGCTATTCATCTTACTGTAGTTGAAGATTGATTCATTTACTTACTTGCATTTTATATCATTTTGTTAAATTACAATTATACTTTTATCATTGTATTTTTATACTGTATTTTATACTGTATTCTTATGCCTTATTATGACTTATATATATACTTATTGTTTGTAGAATTGACATATGTGTGTATTTAATATTCACTTACTTTTTAGATTGTATGGCCTTATTCTTGAATAAACTGTCTAATTTTGATACATGTAAGATTGGAGGAATTGGTATTTACTACCAAACTTTTTTCTGGAGAGCTGGGCAACAGGATGAACATACATATAAAAGTATAGAAAATATATATTTATTATAATAATTTTATCCAAGAAACTAAAGATGGTACACGTGGATTTTATTTCATTATTTATTGAAATGTTATTAACATAATTATATACATCAATAAATAAAATCCTTGCAACATACTTGTTCATTTATTTATCATTTTTGTGGATATCACTTATGTGGACTGGATTTTAGTTTTTTCAAATAGCAGGAAACGTAAGGATAACAGATGTTTTGCATTTAGGAAATCCCAGCATCAACTGCTATGGTGGCTCATAACAGGCTGAAGTATGTATGTGAATGGGAGACAAGCCAAATGGTCTCAGGGGAGAGATGTAAATTACTGCAACAATCAAGCAAGTGGCAGAGTTTATTGCAAGATGAACAAAGTGGAAAAAAGAAGCAACTATTGTGAACCTAAGAAAGGAAATGCCCCCTTGTGGTCTTGAAGGGCCATGAGCTTTCTATTGTGGGCTCATTGCAGCTTGCATAAAGATTCTTCTACTCCAGGGGTGTCAAACTCAATTTCATTGAGGGCCATATCAGCATTGTTGCCCTTGGGGCCAGGTGGGTGCGGCCAGGGTGGGTGTGGCCTACTGGGTGGGTGTGGATGGAGTGGGTGTGGCCTACTGGATGGGCATGGGCAGCTCTACATCGTTCGCATCAAGAGTGCCTGTGGAGCCTGGGCAGGTGTGGGACAGATCTGAGGGTCTCTGGCAGAAGGGGGTGGGATCGGGGCAAGCGCCAAGGCATGGTTCATTTCTTCATTCCTCACAAAGGGTGACACCTCCCCAGCATGCACCCAGGGGGCGGGGCTGATACAGCAGGGGCTGGTTCCTCACTTTCCAGACAGCCTTGTGGAGCTAAGACTGAATGCGATTCAGCACAGATGGCCACCACAAAATTGTACATTGGCTCCCAGCCAGCTTGCACCAGAGACAAGGCAGAGGAGGCCGTTCCCTCACTATTTCCAGGATGGCTTCGCGGCCACATGAAACCAGTTCGCAGGCCGCATCCGGCTCCTGGGCCTTGTGTTTGACATGTCTGTTCTACGGTATATCCATAGAATATGGATATGGGTCATTTTTCTGAGATTTCAGCTAAATCTGAACCTAGCAGCATTTGTAATACAGGTAATACAGAGTCTTAGAGGAAGATGCTCTTCTGTTGTTTCCCTCACAGGGACTCAAGGATGATTCTCCTCTACCTCATTCCAAAGACAATTTGGGGGCAGGGAACATAACTTTCACAACATTTATCACTTTTCTTATCAGATAAAAACCCAAATATATCCAGCTAAGTTTTGTGCTTCATTATATGCTATTCATCTTAATATGGTTGAAGATTGATTCATTTACTTACTTACATTTTATATCATTTTGTTAAATTACAATTATAGTTCTATCATTGTATTTTTAAACTTTATACTTCATTCTTATGCCTTGTTATGACTTATATATTTACTTACTGCTTGTAGAATTGACATATATGCGTATTTATATTCACTTACTTTTTAGATTGTATGGCCTTATTCATGAATAAATTGTTTGATTTTGATACATGTAAGATTGGAGAAACTGGTATTTACTACCAAACCCTGTTCTGGAAAGCCAGGCAGCAGGATGAACATACATATAGAAGTATAGAAAATATATTTATTATAATAATTTTATTCAAGAAACTAAAGATGGTACACATGGATTTTATTTCATTATTTATTGGAAATCAGTGCAATCAGATGTACCCAATCAACCAAATAATGGCCATTGATTTAGGTTATTGTATAAATAAAGTGGGCAGATTTATGGAGGAAAGTTAGAAGTAGCTAGTAGTGGTAACTACTTGATATCTCTCCGGTTAGGCTTAACTCCTGATAACTTCATGGATATACCATATAATTTTCTTCACAAGGTTTTGTAAATGTGGTATTGCAATGCATACACATTTAGATTTGTAAATCAAGTGAACTGTAGTCTTGCATTCAAGTTGATAATTCCAAGGTTATATCCCAGTGTTGGCGAACCTTTTAGAGACCGAGTGCCCAAACTGCAACCCAAAACCCACCTATGCATCATCAGGTGCTGGGTGGGTGTGGCCCATTCGGTGAGTGTGGCCCATTCGGTGGGCATGGCTGCGGTGGTAACAGCAGACTGGGTGGGACTAAAAAGTTCAATTAATCAATTCCAACTTTGCAAGATCTTTTTTTTCTGCGAGAAGTTGAAATTGACTGATTGATTGAACCTTTTTTTTTTTTTGCACATGGCAGTGGAGGCCTAAAGCGAAAAAGTTTTATAAAACCCAGCTGAAGGCCTAGGACTGGGGCAACAGTGTGCGTGCCCATAGAGAGGGCTCTGCGTGCCGCCTTTGGCATGCGTGCCATAGGTTCCCCACCACTGTTATATCCCTTGAAGATTGTCTTCTTTTAGGAACCTTTTCATTTTCCCATTCTAGCCTTATGTTCAGGAATTTTCTGAGTAGCCCCCCACATGCCAGATCTAATTTTGCTGTCACCCAGCTCTTCTGATGGCCATTTATGATCTCTAGAATTCCAAGAAGTGGAATTCTTGGAAGTGTATCCTCTCCATTTTTGTGGTTTGGACTAGATGGACTATCAGTTCATTAGGCAGGCTCAACTAGTTTCCTACATAAAACAAATCCTAAGATTATACAACTAAATATGGATTACATGCATCTTGGAAAATAACCTTGATAGAAAACTCCTATTAGTGTGTACATGTAGACAGGCTTCACAACTATTTGGGACATATTTGTGTGGGTTATTTTTTAATCAGAATCCCCAAATTATTCAGAGTGCAAAAAATAAGAGAATTTCACCATACACTTAAAAGGGGGGTATCTCCCTGCAGGTTGTACCTCTTCCTCCAACCTGATTCCTCACAACAATCTTGTGTGCTATATTATACTGAGGTATAATGATAGAGTCAAAATCATTCATTTACTAGATGATTAGAGTCATACATCACTTAAGAGGTGGACACTTTTCAATGGCTAGCTGTGGGGTCAGCTGTGTATGGTTGCAGTGGGGGTAAGATTAGGATTTTTCTGGTTTTAAGGTGGCATTGGGAGGTATTCTTTTAAAAAGCACTGTTAGGCTTTTATTAGGACTTACATTACAGTATCTCAAAAATGATAGGAAACTATGTCAACAGTTTTCAACAACTGTGGCCAATGGTGTCTCTGTTAAAAAATGTGATTTTTAAAATTTGGATTGATTATATCATATAAATTTCTTGCAATTTATAGAACAAATTATGACTAAAAAGTCCAAAATCTATGAATCTGAATGTAGAGCATGGCAGGGCAAAGATTTAAACTTGGAACTTCCTAATCTTCATTTAATGTTTAGTCATATATTTTTGCCTCAAGGAACACAAAGTATCATTTTCATACAACAATAAAATCTTTCTGATAATGCAAACTATGGCAGCATAGATGTAGTTCATACAAATATTTTTCCAAATAGGCACAATATGCATGTAGCAGACTCTGAAGACCATACAAACCATACCAGCAGAAATTATTAATTGCAAATTAATTTTAGAGCCTTATTTGGAGGATAAAAGAATAGGCTCTGTTATTCTTCATTTAAAACATTGTCCCTTGCTTCCTGATGATGTTTATATATGAATAAGTCAGGATTTGTTGATCATCCTGTATTATTGGTTCACTCAAAATAGGAAGCCTAAACTTTGGTTTTTAAAGTACAAATTACTGTGTTACACAACACAGGAAGCAAAGAACATTGCAAAACACCCAGTAGATAGATAGATATCATAGTTATGTCACATCACATTAGCTTACTTAAATGTGCTTTATTGAAGAGACTAGAATGGACCGGATTAATTCATAGTGAGTCATAATTATGATTTACAAACTATGGTAGTTACTTCTTTGCTATGGCTGTAGCTTGCAACATTTTGAAAAATAATAAAAACAATTAATAAAACAGCACAGAGAGCTTGGACTAAAATAATCATGACTATGGTTGGGATGACACACATGGAAAAATTTTCCATAATCCTCCATAATGGATTTAGTGGTATAAGAAAATAAACATTAGAAAAGATGGAGGGAGGCACAGAAGAGCTATTATGAAAAGCAACATTGTGTTGATTTATGCTGCTCAAAAGAGCACCATTTAGCTGATTTGGGAATGCAATTTTCATCTTTCCCAGACAATAACCCTACTAGCTGGGTGATGGGAGTTAATGTCCCATATAGTTGGAGAACCTCACGTTGGGGAAAGCTGAGCTAGATTCCCTGAAACATTTCATAAATGAGGCAGGATGATTGCAAAAGTAATCATCTGACTATACTCCCAAAAGTGTATTCATGTTTTCTATATAGCTGGTCCATTTCACTAAATCTGTGTCAAAATTCTGGAGTAGGCAAAAGAAAACAATTTATCCAAGCAAGGAAAGGGAAATTATTTGCCAAGTGTTCAGGCTTTTAATTCAAAAACCCTGCTGCTTCTCCAGATTAAGATAAGGGGCAAAATCAATTAGCAACATATAGGTTTCCCTGAAATAAATGGGAGTATAATCCTAAAGTAAAGCTGAATCAAGATAACAGGACTTGTTCCCAAACAAATGGGATTGCAGTGGAATTGATAATGATGCCTGTTATGCTAAACACCCCAATCATCTGTGCCTATTGCTTGCAACACCAGAGAAAGAGAGAGAAAAGGCGCTTACCAAAGCACAGACCATGTTCAGAAAGGAGAAACAAAAAGCAACTCTTAGGAAGCTGCTTAAGAGGGTCAATTCCTCCATCCTTCTCAGAATACTGATGCCATCCAAAGAAGGGAGAAGATTTTTTATTGTCCAGTTTGATGCTTTCTTGAAGGAAGGGAAAGTATTTTCAGTACGTAAATCCAAAATGAAGTTCCACGGATCTAGCAACATTGGCATGCAAGTTCATTTCTTCATCCACAGATTAAACCTCTTCAGCAAAAAACAGTCTGATCTCTAAATTTCTGGGACATCAGCATTCATTTAACTGATAGAGGATGCTGAGGCTGGTGCTTAATTATGTTCAATGT